AGTGCCAATCTTTATAAACAAAAGGCTAGTGACTCGTAAAATTTAAATCAATTATACATTCATCCTACACCAATTCATTTAAAACTTTAAAATCTCGAAAGTCGATTAATCATTTATTAACCAAATTAAGTTTCATAATATGTTTAATGCATAGAATGTTCACAAATAAGTGACGATGAAATCGAACTAAATATATTTATTTGTTTATAAATTATTGCACGAACGTGTAAATATCAAGTGAAAAACTATTATTTTCTTATGGTTTTTTTTGTTTAATCGCTTCATTCATAGAAAGAGTAACAAGCATTAATATTATAAAAAGTCTTATGTTACTTTTGCTTTTACTTTACACTAAATATTTTCAATAATTCTCTGTAATTTCTTGGAATGTTCTTCTTCTCTACTTCCAAAGTAAATATTATAGTCACCTTCTTTTTTTCTTCTCTCTTTCGGCAATAAAGACAATATTTATACATTTTTAAATAAGAAAAGGTGACTAATAATTTTTGGGCCCTCTTTACTTTCTTGGCTTGACCTTTCCATTACCGTTCACCAAACATTAATATAACTAATCGCAGTGCAACAACAAATTAAGTCATTTTTTTATTGCTTGTTTGATAAAATTTTACTAAGGAGGGTGTATTCAGTTGGAACTTTTAAAGATTTTGATGGACTTTTTTTAAATGATGCTTTTGTGGATTTCGTGGATTTTTATTAAATTTGTATGAAATTAGTAGAAGTTTTTCGTAGATTTCTATGAATTTTTATTTTAAAATTTTTATAGATTTTTGTGGAACTCAAAAGACTTTTGAAGACTTTCATTTGAAATAGAATTCACGTGGATCTAGTGTGAAATTCTCACATATGCTGTGTTAGTTCACCCAATTCTCCTTTTCCTTCCCATTTTTCTTCCCATATAATAAAAAAAATTGAAAAAATAAAAACTTAAAACCTTAATTAAATAAATAATAATCAAAATTATATATGATTCAATATTATTAGTAATAGTATACTTTTAAAATAAATAAAATCAATATATTTAAATTTAATTATAAATTTTCATATAAAATTTTATAATTTAATAAAAAAATAGATATTTTCAAAAAAAAAATGAAAAAAAAAACTACAAGAATCCAATTTAATTTTTTAATAGAAAATAGAAACAAATAATAAAAGAGAAAGAAAAATAAATGGAATATAATCAATGGAAAAAAATAAATTTTAATCATATGTATCCATGGAAGGTTAAATGAAAGAAAAATTGAAATTTTATTTTATTTCATTTTGTGAAAGTCTCCCAAAATCTCGTGATTAATGAGAGACAAATTTTAAGATTTTATATGAATACTTTCTGCTTAAAAGTTAATACTTTAGTGACTTTTATGAAAGTCTCTAAAAATCATTAAAATTTTAATACCCCAAAACTTATAGAGACTTCTAAAAGGTTTTAATTGAATACACCGTAACTTTTAGAAACTTTTTAACAGTCTCAATTAAATACACTTAAACTTTTTAAATCTCAAAAAATTATTAAAAGTTTCAATTGAATACACCTCGCTAAAACTTTTCTACCTACCAAACTTCAATTTTAAACACACACTTCATCTAATACAAAACTTTTTAACCACAAATATTTGGGTGAAACTAAATGAAAAAATCCAAACTGTCTAACGTTAAGAATCAGCCGATGAGTATGGTTAGGAGTGAAAAGCCACTTGAACACAAAACTAACTGTTTCTCCCCAAAATGCATTTAGTTATAGCGATTGATTAGACAAAAAGCAGTAAAACATTATTTCGCTGCAATATGCAAGAGCGGTACCAAATTGAGATCAATTTTTATCAAAATTTGCTTGAACTTTTAAAAATATTGCCAAACAACCCCTTAATAAAATTACAGTTAACTCCACTAACACAAATCATAGACTTAATTATGTGGAAATTACACGGTAGCAGGTCTTTAAAGATTACTGTTCAAATATCGCACAAAGTTTAATCAATCGTAAATCAGATAATAATTTTATATTTTAATATTGATAATAATATTATAATTAATCAACCTCCCCCAATTCATCCCCAATCTCATTTTCAAAACCTCTCTCTCTCTCTCTCTCTCTCTCTCTCCCTCTCCCCCCCCCCCCCCCCCCCCCCTCCCTCG